CCTATCTAGACCGCGTCCCTATGGTAACCTTATTATTATTGTCCGTGACGTCACACGTAAAATCGATATTTGTTAACGTGGGAGACATCTTTCATTAGTCAAGAATTTTAAGAATAATCATAATTACATATAATTTAAGCCAGTGGTATCGGGCTAAAGTCCTTACACATATGATAAACGCTCCACCATTTTAATAAACTAGGTTTATGACCAAGTATAGCATATGAATAAGACGTGAATTATGGCTGTCTCATTGTTGATGCATGTTGTTGTGTAAGTGTGTTCACTTTTTAACCATTTATTGTCATAATAAGTTCCATAAAACAAAGAGCAGTAAGAGTTAGTTATTTGGGGAGTAACTGGGGATTGGCTGCTCTTGGGAGACGCTTAGATTATTTAATCTTAAATTAAGTGAACTATGATTCATTTATTACTGTATAATGAAAGAGACAAGGGCTTTATGTTACAAATAAGAGAAACATGGCGAGTGTTAAAGCCGCAGGCAACTGTGATTCTAATTCGTATTAAACGTACAGGTAATGAACGGTACTGAAGCAGGGCAGGAAAATAAACATTACATGTTGCTGCTGTAAGGCACGTCGGGGTGAGTTAACTGACATCACCGTTTTAAATTTCAAGTGGATAAAACTAATGAGTGTAACACAGTAAATGATACTAAAATTACTCATTCCTGTTGTCCTGAAAGACGGGACAAGTACAATAACATCATAACTATGTATAGGAAGACGTGTAATTATTGCTGTAGTGAAGCAAATAACAATTACGTTATCTGGTGCTGCAGGCATATCAAGTGAGCTGGGAGCTAGAGTGCTTGAGCTGCCGTACAAGGGAGAGGCCGCGTCCATGTTTGTGCTGCTGCCTGACTCTGGGGCGACCGACGACAACACTACAACACCCCTGGACGCCATGCTGACCTACCTCAACCCATACTCTCTCAGAGCTGCCCTCGCCACATTGAGAACACAAAGAGTCCTCATCAGGATCCCCAAGTTCAAGATGGAAAAGGGGATCAAAGAAGAACTTAAAGAGGTGAGTGTCTTATACGTTTAAGATTAATATAACGAGGACTGCAAGTATTACCTGGAATTATAACAAAATTACTACCAAGAACTTTCTGGCCAAATGCATAATTACGAATAATTATGTAAGAATTATATTCATGTTCACGATGATGCTGTTAAAACTATCCATTCACCGTTTGTCTCCTCTTTAGAACAACTGTCACTTGCTTTTCTATGTTTATCCAAACTTCATCAATTATCCGGCTGTGGACACACTCCCCACCAAGGAATAACTTTGCATTTCTTTTATGTGCCAAGTTATGAATGGTGACATTTTGATAGTGCCGGAAATAATTAATGATATAAAGTTAAAGTAAAATCAAAATGACGGAAAAGAAAACAAAACCGGAAAGAAAAACAACCCAAAATAAAATGACAAGAATAAAGAAACCTATAAAAGAGAGAGAGAGAGAGAGAGAGGCCAGCCAACTCCACAAACATTAGTAACTAGAACCCACCTAATACCATTTCCCTTCAACCTCTCGACCTACCAATTAACATCACTATCACACCTGGCATGACCTTAAGTATATCTGAAGAGGCTGGCTGGAGTTATTTCAACGGAGTAAAGGCATTTACCAAATACCTAATCTCTCACCAAAACATTGTGACACGTGTTCATTTTCACAAGCCAACAAATTTCCTGACAGCATTTATCACTACTGCCTTCACAACCAAGGAAAAAGTCAGTCACAAACTCTTGTATTTTTTGTTTTTAATCAAGATGCCTCAAACACTAATCAAATATCTACAAGAAGAAGCATTTAAAAATGTAGATGAAACTTTGTCCACAACGATCCTTTAAGTTTACTTTTCTAGTTACATAACTGATGACACACTGCTTCATGTTGTTAAAAATATTCCAATCTTCCCGACAGGCTCTCCAGCGTCTTGGGATCCGAGACATCTTCAGTAACTCTGCTGACATGTCCATCTTTGATCCTTCAAGTCAGCTTAAAGTGAAAGAGACCATCCATAAGGCCGTAATAGAAGTAAACGAAGAGGGTTCAGAGGCTGCGGCTGCAACAGTGGGACTCATTGTTCCCCTGTCGGGCCCGTTACGATTCATATGTAATAGGCCCTTCCTATTCTTCATCCACGATAACCATACCAATAACATTCTCTTTATGGGCGTCTACAGGCAGCCATGAACCCACAGAAAACCATAATGTACACCCTTATAGAACACCAATATAACTTAGGCACCTACAAAGAGACCTCCGTAATATCTTGACTATCACTGCCCACTATTATGTTTACGTGACCATAATAATGTAAAATATATCCCCTATAATGTGGTCGTGATGTGATCAACTGTGTATGTGAGTTACAAGTGTTCCCCAAGTACTGACTGACAGTGAAGGCTGCCGCAGTAACATTCTAACCCTCATGTTTCGAAATTATGAAATATATAAACAAACTGTAAAATAATATTCAATTTAGTTCCTGAATAAAATATACATTATTCAGCTGCATTTCAGTACTCCTTCCAGTTGTCTTTAAGTATATTAAATTTTGGTTATTGTAATTCTTCCTACATAACTCAGATGTCATGATTATAATTTTACAAATTAAATAATAATATTTTATGTATAATAAGTTGCGTCAGCATGTCATGGATTTAGTAGTTTGGGTGTGGATGTTATATAAAGATTATCTTATATTGTGTTTCTTATATTTCTTACCGTAGAGTTCGATACCTTCACACTGGTTACTTACAGGAGATTATGGTGTATCTACGTAGAAATTCACTCCACCACACGACATTCCATGATTTATACTTGATAAATGATTATTTAATAAGTTCCATTAATTTCCAACATCCATCTAAGTTATTGGTTATACTTTGTCATAACCAATCAGTCATTACCTTTAGTATTAATAAGATAAGATCACAGATACGGGCAGATAATTGCGCTTACATTTATTTGTCAAGCTTCCATACAATGATTTACAATTTGCATGGATGTTAGAGTCACTCACATTCACGCTGGAAAAAAATTAATCTTCTAAAGAGGGAATTTTCAGTTTGGGGACACATGTGATTACTCTACTATGGGTATGACTTAACAGAGCCTTAATTCTTCAAGTGATTCATTTACTGCCAGCCTGGATTGCTCTTGTTGCAACCAGCTTCCGCGCAAGAACTTCTTTTCACGGGGAATAACAACAAAAAAGTACCCTTGGGTTACCACACATATATAGTCTCACGTCACTGACAGTCACTGTAGACGGTTGTCGCGGCAGGGAGACCTGGTAAGTGTGACTTGATTAGCCACTTACTGTAGGTTCAATAGGCCAGCCTGGATTGCTTTTGTCGCAACCAGGCTTCCCACACATGATTTTTCCACGGGGAATACAAACCTAGGTTAACACACTTAATCTCGAGTCGATTACGGTCACTGTAGACGGGTGTCGCACAGGAAAATTCTGTAAGCGTGACTTGATTAACCATTTACTGTAGGTTTGATAGGCCAGCCTGGATTACTCTTGTCGCAACCAGGCATCCACATGTGATATTTCCACAGGGATAGCAACCTAGGTTAGCACACTTAGTCTCATGTCACAGACGGTTCACAGGACGGAGTGGCGGTGGAGGACTCTGTGTGGTGTCCCGTCCCCTTCAGGAGGGAGAGGGTGGGGACGACGTCTTAACTAACCCAAGGCCAAGGGGATACTACTCAAAATGTGGTTTTGGGGCATGAGACAATGAACAGTACAACACTGTCTCAATGGCCTCGCCCCTATAGACTGGCTAACATACCACTAATGGAAAAAATATGTAGTAGTCATGGCTCGCCGGGTGCCTTAAATCTAGTAAAACAAACTTTGGAGTTGGTTGCGCGGGTAAGCCTAATGCAACCCATGACACAGTAACAGTTCAATATCAACGCTGTTGACGCATCACACATGGACGTTCTCCTCCCTTTAATATGTAATTCTTTATTCCTCGCAACAGTGGTACCTTCTTATCATCTCTCAACCACCCCTCCAAGACGATACTACCACCCCTCCAAGACAATACTTCCACCCCTCCAAGACAATACTATCACCCCTCCAAGACGATACTACCACCCCTCCAAGACAATAATACCACCCCTCCAAGACGATACTACCACCCCTCCAAGACGATACTACCACCCCTCCAATACAATACTACCACCCCTCCAATACAATACTACTACCCTCCAAGACAGTACTACCACCCTCCAAGACGATACTACTACCCTCTAAGACGATACTACCACCCCTCCAAAACACTACTACCCTCCAATACAATACTACCACCCTCCAATACACTACCACCCTCCAAGACTACCACCCAAGACAATACTACCCCTCCAAGACGATACTACTACCCTCCAAGACGATACTACCACCCTCCAAGACAATACTACCACCCTTCCAAGACGATACTACCACCTCCAAGACAGTACTACCACCCTCCAAAACAATACTACCTCCAAGACAATACTACTCTCCAAGACGATACTACCACACTCCAAGACGATACTACCACCCGTCCAAGACGATACTACCACCCCTCCATTACAATACTACCACCCCTCCAAGGCGATACTACCACCCCTCCAAGACGATACTACCACCCCTGCAAAACAATACTACCACCCCTCCAAGACGATACTACCACCCCTCCAAGACAATACTACCACCCCTCCAAGACAATAATACCACCCCTCCAATACAATAGTACCAACCCTCCAAGACAATAATACCACCCCTCCAAGACAAAGGTTGGAAGGGCAGCCATCGAGTGCTTCCACACAAACTAGGAAAAGAATTGTAATATCTGGGTTCACTGGCGTCACTTGGCTGGTTTTTCAAGAAACAGATATTTATCAGAACTGGTTTTAACTAGTTTGTGGCGATGTAAGAAACTGGGCCGGAGGTGAGAGCATTTAAGACCCAAGTTCAGGTGTGTGCTAGTCACAACTCACCTGGTTGACGCTACGACAACAAGGCACCTTCAGTCTTACCTGTGTACTGTAGGTCAACACTAAACAGTAGGTAGGTAATGCTGCTGTTGTTTTACTACATTATCACTACTAATAGCGCCTGCTATTGTTAACAGTGTTACCATACTGCAACACAAGACGATTACATACGCCTGGTATTATCAAATGTTGTGATGTGTTATACTTTAATGCAAGACTACAGTACTGTAAGTGTTGCATTTTTGTTTACTAAATAATCCTCATAATTATCTAAACGGATGTTTGGCAAGTGACGTCACTATGTTTACAACACTATATTGTGGGTCAATATGACACATTATTTAACAAATAATAGACGGCAGATTACTTAACAAGTAAAAAGATACAAAATTACGAAACAAAAACAAGAGTAATAAACACAAAATATTGACATCACATGTGCTCTCCATAGTGTATCAAGTACAGTATTTTACTTCTGGCAAAAAATATGTGAATTTTTATTAAATATTTCGGGGACGCGACTGTAAACGGTGAGTACACAAGGGTGGTGTGATTCTCTGACTGCAGGATGTTGCTCACTTTAAGCGTGTTGTTCAGTATGTGCAGGTAATTATCACCTGCCTTTGCAAGGCCGGATAAGCTCGAAATTTAGGATGTATCCCATGGTTGAGTCGATGAGTTCTGTCTGGGTGGCAATCGGGGCTGGAGGTGGTGCTGAAGTTAGCCCAGACGCATGAGTCAGGGGTGTCGGAAAGAATTTTAAATAGTTGTTGCCTTAACCGACGGCAAGAGAACTCTTTCTGCTTCCAAGCAAAGTTGTATGCAACCAACTTTAGAAGCATTTGTTGTTAAAAAATGACACGTAGGCTTGAGGGAGTTAAAATGGCAATGGTGAGATGTAACTGTAAAGTGACGTTGCAAGATAGGAAACCCAGTTCAGAGCTAAAATGGCAGTTGAGTACTGAGAGAGCTGGCGATGTTTTATTTGGAGGTACGGTAGGCTGAGATACTTCCGACATGTGAAGAGAATGGTGGAGGCAGATTGGGACAACAGATGCACGAGCTTGAATGTGAAGAGGAGGATAGCTTGAGGTAGACCAAGGGCAACATGGAAAGTTGTGAGATATGATCTCAGTGATAAGTACCTTACGAGAGTCTGCAAGAAACCATGCAGCTTGGAGAGCTTCCAACTTGTAAAATTGGCTAACCCTTGCAAGTGTGGAAAAATTGCCGTAAAAATGATGATGAGGATAATGAGGATGAGTTATGTACGATATCTCTTATCGCCAAAATTCTTATTACAAATATATAGAAGTAAAATAAACGGGCTTTCTTCTTGCTTTCTATCTTGAATTTTCATACCTCTTTATCTTTATCATCCGATGAGTAATCACATGACAAACGGGTTTTTGGTTGAGCACTCGCCCTACAAGAAATGGTCCTGGGTTCGATTTCCAGGAATGGAAGACCGAGTTCCAGCTGTGTAGACTTGCCGTTACACACACCAGTAGAGCGAGGCCACACTACTGGGTATACCAGCCGATGATGAACCACCACTTTGGTGGATTAGCATTCTGAATGGTAACAATTAAAAAATCTGCTCCGATTCATCCATCCGATATCATAAGCCAGGTAATGACTTGCAAGAATGAAAAGCTTTCTTATATCATTGTTAGCAGTAGTCGAGATGGTTGTAGTAATGGTTATATTAACAGTAGAAGTAGACGTAGTATTACACTTTCTTTAAACAATACATAATGAGTATTCAGATAATAACAGCTTCACTCTTCTTCTCGTCCACAGAATGTTAAACTTTGTGTCGGCAGTGTTGTTATTGACGCTAGTGGGTGTGGTCAGCCCTCAGTGTATCACCACCAACGATACTCAGCCCCCACCACTCCACCCTGACCTGGGCCACATCCTCCCCTTCAGCTTGGGTTTGTTCAAGGAGCTCTACGTCCCCGGCAGCGCCACGGGCAACTTCTTCTTCTCCCCCTTCAGCATCTGGAACGCCCTCGTCTTGGCCTACTTCGGGTCGGCTGGCAGAACCCAGGAGCAACTGCAACGGGTTCTCAACCTTAAGAACCCAGCTGATACCCTGGCCACTTACAAGGCCGTGGACCGTCTGTGAGTACACACCTGTCTTACTGACCCACACCTGTACCTTTGTGACCCACACCTGTGCCTTAGTGACCCACACCTGTGCCTTAGTGACCCACACCTGTACCTTAGTGACCCCACACCTGTACCTTACTGATCCACACCTGTGCCTCATTGCCCAAAACTATCATATTGATCCAAAAATGTGTCTAAACGGTCCATAACTGTACCACAATGACCCACATCTGCCTGAAAATTGTCTATGAACCTCCAACTTCAAGTGAATGGATGTTTGTTTGTTATTTGACTATGTTTACGAACATATATGTGTATCTACACTTGCCTCGGTATATATCGGTTATGTACTCATGTACAGGATTTTATGTTAACACAGGTACGCAGAGCGACAGGCCAACACCAGCGACATTGTGGTGAACTTGGCCAATCGAATGTACTTGAACGCGAGCATCCCCCTCCGTGTCTGTGTGAGTGGCGTGCTCTCGGACAAGGTCCAGCTCCTCAACTTCAACACAGTGGGTACAACTATACACATTTCACTACAATTGTAACCTTGATGAACAAGTTCATGGCCGTAAACCCATTTTAATTGGTCGAGGTTGATGACGTCAATCCATCTGGGATGTGTCCAAAGTGCCAGATACTGCTGCATTACATAATCTATCATTCATAAAACGAACCAGACTAAGCTACCTAAACAATATTACATGATTTCCACGTAATCTTCCTTCCCAGCATTCGAAGATCACACGTAACTGGCGGTGTGGCGTACAGTGATCAAAACATTCTGCCAACAGATACTACTACTTTTCTGTCACTCGGAATAGAGTATGACGATCATCCAGCTATAATGCAATGATGAGTTATTGAGGATGTCACCTTTGTTGGTGAGCTCTGATGTGACAAAAGAGGCTGATACGGGACCGACAGGGTCGTCCATAGATGTTGCACATGTGGCGGGCTACATCTATTGCGGGAGGGGCGGCGACAGCGTTTTTCCGGCGTTGACGCTTCTCTGCCTCAGTATGCAATCGGGCTAACTCGTATCAACACCTCGTGTGGTGCTCCTCCAAGAGTTACGGTGTGGAGGAATCGTCTCCCAGGTGAGGAGATTTGGCACTTTTTTCAGGTTTCTCTTAAGACTATCCTTATACCTTTTCAGTTGCCCACCAGCGTTACATTTAATACTAGTTAGGTGACTGTAAAGTAGTTGCTTTGGCAGTCTACTGTCGCCCATGCGGGTAACATGGCCAGCCCAACGTAATTGTTCATGGATAATGGTAGCCTCGATGCTCCTACAATTGGTGTCAGCAAGAATACTGACATTTGTTCTCTTGTTTTCCCAGCAAACTCGGAGGATGGAAAGTAGACTACGTTGGTGAAAGTTTGCGTTGAGGTGTCACCTGTATGTAACCCATATCTCACTGCCATATAGCAGGGTGGGGAGGACCGATGCTCGATATACGTGCAACTTTGTAGATAAATTCGGCTCCCTACAGCTGAAGACACGGGTACAGAGTTATCCAAAAGCTTGAGATGCACATCTGATCTTATGTTGAGTCTCTTCATCGTTGTCAGTAATGATAGACAGGTGGGAGCCGAGATACTGAAAGTGGGTAACATTAGAGAGGGTAGTTCTGTTAAGCTGGATGGATGGTGGAGGTGTGGCTGAACCAGGGGCAGGCTGAAACAGAGTCTGAGTCTTACGTACATTCACTTCAAGGCTAAAGTGTGCTTACGCATCTGCGTAGGTGGTCAGGATCTCCTGTTCAGTGCGAGCGACAAGGGTGAGGACGTCCGCATACTGAAGTTCAGTAATGGAAACTGCCGACACCTTTGTTCCTGCCTGGAGTCATCTTATGTTAAAAAGGCCCTTCATCCGGTACTGGATGTCCACCCCGCCGGCTAAATTGGCACTGGCACGAGTAAGGAAAGCAGCCAAGAAAATGGGAAGAGAGAGTTGGTACCAGTGCACATCCTTGTTTTACCCCGTTTGGATGGGGAAGAACTCAAACTGGGTGCCTTTGCGCAGGACACTGCCGTTCATGCCATTATGGAGTTGCTTCACAATGGCGATGAATTTTGGTGGGCAGCCAAACCGGCTGAGGGCCCACCAGAGGGCTCCCCTGTTGATCGAGTCGAAGGCCTTGGTTAGGTCAATGAAGGCCATGTACAGGTCACAACGCCGTTCTCTTCACCTTTCCTGTATCTAGCGGGCAGCAAAGATCATGTCAGTGGCGCCACGTGATGATCTAAAGCCACATTGAGATTCTGGTAGGAAGTTTTTCTCCTCAGGAACAAGTCTGTTTAGGAGGACTCGGGCTATAATCTTGCCAGCTAGGGACAGCAGAGAGATCCCGTGGTAGTTGCCACAGTCTGACCTGTCTCCCTTGTTCTTATAAATATTGATGATGGAGGCATCTTTAAGAGCCTGGGGAATTTCCTCCTTTTCCCATATATTCTCAAGGAGACAGTGGAGATGGCTGGAAGGCAGAGGTCGTCCTGCTTTATACACCTCGGCTGGGATAAGATCAGGCCCTGAGGATTTTTTTATTATTCATCCGTTTCATGGCAGTAGCTACCTCAACTCAGGATGGAAGACAGCTGAGGTGGGTCAGTTCTGGATGCTGAGGACCTAGTGGGTAGTCAGGACATCCTCATCAGTGTTTCGGTTGAGAAACGAATGGTAGCGTTCTTTCCAGCGCTGAAGGATGCCTTCTTCATCTTTAATTAGGGAGTTACTGTTGGATGTGCGGAGAGGGGTTGCGCCATGAGTGATTAGTCCATGAAATGTTTTATTGGAATTGAAAAATGTTTTAGTGGAATTGAAAATTTCGTGCATCTTGTGTTGATCTGCAAGTTTTTGTTTCTCATGCTTTATTTTTAAACCAGTCGTTTTTTACATTGTGAAGTTCGTGCTGGACCGCCGCCTTCTTCTTGCGGAAGGTATCAGCTTTGGTCTGAGACTGAGGGTTGGCCCTGACGTGCTGCAGTAGCCTGAGCCACGAATTGCTCGGATGATAAGACTTCTCAGTGATCTCTTTCTCCGACAATGATGTAGTCAATGAGATGCCAGTGTTTGGATCGTGGGTGACGCCACAAACCCTTGAATTTGTTGGCCTGCCTAAACAAGGTATTGGTGATAGTGAGGTTGTGTGAGGCACACTTGCTGAGGATGAGTAGGCCGTTGGGATAACACTTGCCTAGTCCATTTCTGCCCATGATTCCCTACCAAATGTCAGCATCTCTGCCAACTCTGGCATTGAAGTCACCTGGGAGCACATCTTATCCTCTCTGGGTTTAGAGGTTACCACTGTTAAAGTTGGCATAAAAGGCCTCCTTTATGTCATCCTTTGCATCCAGTGTTGGGGCGTATGCACTGATGAAGAGAGTATGACGAGAGTGATTCAGTGGGACTCGGAGCGTCAAGAGGCTCTCGTTGATCCCAACAGCCATTTCAGTTAGCTATGCAGGCTCCATTGGTGGATGGCAAAGACAACTCCATAAATGCAGTTTCTCTCCCCAGCTGGCTTAACCTTCCAGAAGAAGGTACAGCCAGATCCCAGTTCTGTGAGTCGACCCTCGTCTGCGAGCCGGGACTCACTAATGGCTGCGATGTCGATGTTATACCTAGCCAGCTCTTTTGCCACAAGGGCAGTTCTTCTATCAGGATGCTCATTTGTGTCAGTATCAAGAAGGGCCCTGAGATTCCATGCAGCGACCATAAGAGGTTGTATGGTTTGTTTTTGTTTTGATATGTGATTACGATTGTGTTTTCGACCGTATAAAGATGAACTTACTGGGTACAGTTGCACAGTCAGATTGGTTCTTTAGGCAGGCTATGTTTAGGGCACATTTTTTCGCCCCCTCCCCATTTGGGTTAAGCAAAGTGGCTCCTCGAAAGGGCTGCTCAATCGCACAGACAGGACCGGATTGCACTGCTGCCTAGATCCCAGTGCATAAACGACCATCTTATCTATGCCGCCCAGTGAAGAGTTGTGACTAGAGACTCCCGGCAGTCATCTCTGCCTGTCCCGTCGCCACTCGTCCGTCGCTCTAGGACTTTTAGGTGTATAGGGGTTTTGATGAGGATGAGAAGTATGATGAGCTGGATGATGGCTTCACATGAGTTGATTTATGTGGTGAGGCAGGAGCGCAGGCTGCAACCACACATCTTGGTTCTCCCTTTTCCTGATCCAGTGATGCAAGTGTTGCAACGACTGGGGAGAGGGAGAGTTGCAATGGACTGTCGATACCCCAGTTTGTTGGGCTTCGCCTTAGTAGCCTGTCCATCGGAAATTGCCTTCTTCCGCAGGTGTAGTCATTGGGTTTCCATGGTGGTCACCTCTTCCGCCTACACCACCGTTGGGGTCTTGTTGGAGCTCTATAAGCATGTCTGCCTGATGCGGGGCTCCACCACAGATTTTTCGTTCTTGGATTACTCCCGTAGCCTTATACCTGCCAAGGTTAATCGGCAAGGCAGTGGGGCAGTCGTTGGCAGGCGCCAGGACGTGTCCACATGCCAGTGGACCTATGCATCGTCCCCTCTATGCCCCACTGCTGCTCCGAAATCCCCTGCTGGTCTAGCCTGTGCCCACGAGGCACCCAATTACTGTGTGTTGCCACGAGGAGGCACAGCAGGAGTCTTATTGGTGAAGAGGCTGTGAACTGGCAGGAGAAGACTTATGCAATTTGCTTCCCTGTTCGCCCAGTGTGCTAGCCAGCGGCAGTAGCTGAAAGCAAAAGGAAGTAAGAAGTGCTTTCACCTTAACAACAAACTAAATTGGAAACCACACGTCAATGAAGTTGTCAAATCCTCCAGTTTCCGTCTCCACCTCCTCCGCCGACTCAAGTCCCTCGGAGTTCCTGCCCCCGAGCTCCTCAGTGTTTACTCAACATTTATACTTCCCAAGCTCACCTATGCCTCCCCTACCTGGTCTTCCTCCTTAAATGCCACACAACGTAAACACCTAGAAAAAGTGCAAAAGAGGGCATGCAAGATTATTCTCTCCCTTTCCTACTTCACATATCAAGAAGCACTCAACACACTGACCCTCTCGGCTCTCACTGACCATCACCACGACCTCATCTGCAAACTTGGTGAGAAGCTTCTGCACCATCCTCGACACCGGCTCTTACTACCACCTGAAATCCCTCGCCCGAGAATTGCTGTTCGACACCACAACCGCATCCAGCCCATACGAGCACGAACTGATGGCTATAAGAACAGCCCAGTCCCAACCATTGTAAAAATTATCAATAACTTGTAATCAACCAGTGTATTCACTCCCAATCAATCTTACTTACCCTGTAGCACAATGGTAGCGCAGTCGGCTCACAACCGAAAGATCTCGGGTTCGATCCCCGGGCAGGGCGAGAAACAAGGCAGGTCTCTTTACACCAGTTGCCTCTGTTCACCTAGCAGTGAGTAGGTACCTGTTTGTTAGACGGCTGTTGTGGGTCGCATACTGGGGAATGGTGTAATGCAAATAACATCTGAGGAACACCTCTCAAAGAAACTAGGACTGTTTGTCCTAGAAGCATTTAAGACTGGGCGTATGCCTAAGCAAGAATCCAGAAGAAACTTTTTGCGCTGTCACTATGTTGAAATACCCTGCAGTTTGAGCTTCTCCCCCCTAGTTATTATATACCATATTTGTATCACTGTTACTTGTATATCATTTGTAAATCAAGAGACCCATTCCCCAATTTTGAACTGCATGTTTTCAGGCTTCCGGCCGCCATGCTCTTTCAATAAACCGTTAATTATTATTATTATTATTATAATTATTATTATTATTATTATTATTATTATTATTATTATTATTATTATGCTGTAATACTAAACGCATTACACCACCCTGTTCACATACACACAGCGGGGTAACGCAACCTTTATCATGGGCCGGATACTCAAAACACCTCATAAGTTACGTCTTTTAGCATGATACAGTACCATATATTGTCGAATCTTTACAGTACCGTAAATTTAGCATACTCAAAATTTAATTACAGTTCCGTAAGCCTTTCGTAAGTTTTCATAACTCTAGTGTTTACCCTGTAAATTAAATTCTCTTGTCGGAAGGTAGATGTCAGTGCAGGAGCTAGTTGGCCAATCAGCGCTCAGTTAACAAAATCATCAACCAATCACAAGAGAAGGAGAAATCAGCTGAGAGCGACGCACATAATATTATTTTGTAAACATGGAAGGACCACCAGCCAAGTAGAGACGGCCTAATTTCAGTGAGGCTGAAGTATACGCTATTCTGGGCAAATTCAAATAAATTGGTTATTGATAGCATAGCCTTGCCGAACCTAAATGACAAATCACTTCTCTTAAATTACTTATTTAGCCTAGACCCTGGTGTTTTCCTTTCAATGTTGGGGACATTTGGTCTGAAATGTCTTCAAGTTCATACAAAAAACAACAATTTAAAACCTGAAAATATATCGGATTATCCGTAAATTTTCTTAAATTAATACTCTACCCTATGATAATGTTCAAGGAAAGTCTGGAACTAGGCCTAAGGTAGCTGCTAGACAAAGTGTCTCACTGACGGCCTGACACTCGCCAAAAAACCATGTACACATTCTCTAACCTAACCTAACATACCATAACATAAGATAACCAAACCAAACCTATCTAACCTATAACCTATTGGTATAATTTCTTATTTAAATAATCCTCATATTCTAACTAAATTAAGTAGGCCCCACGTTTAAGCATTTATTTGCCTAAGACTGAAAAAGCAGTTATATAGGCCCCTATTAATCAAGTTAATTGCAATTCATATTTTACGCCTAATATAATTTAATTTTAGCTAGCCTATGGAAATTTATAGCCTTTCATGTTATCATAAGCCATATACATAAGAAAATAGGCTAAGGCTATTGGTTGAATATTAGAAAAACAAGGCGAAGTCTAGGCAGGAATGTTCACTTGACCTCATATTTGGCTTTCATTACCGAGGGATATTTACGGCTATACAACATTAATAAGTTCTATCTGCAAGTTTACTCAGTCATAAAACATATTTTTACCCTAAGTGTGAACAATACAAACCTTCTGTTTTGGTAAAAAATACTTTATAATGTGTAAGAAGACAAAAGATGCGTCTCTTCCAAACTGAGACAAATACAAACACTCAAGCCGCTTATTATGGCAACAAACATTTTACGAAAAAGACAAAGTGAAATCTTATATTTCAGTATGTTGATGTACAAAAAATTTTCTTCAGTATTCTATGATAAAACAAGTCTAACAGGCATTATTACAACACATATTATTATTATTTTTTACACAATCGGGAATTATTCACTACTACATCAGGGTTGAGTGTTACACAACCTCAGGAGCTGGTGTAAGTTACACTCTTTAACTTACGGAGTTCGATGTCAAATATTTGTTTTGAGTATACCATCTGTGTTTTGAGTATGCCAATCTGAGACTGTAAGTCCAGTTACGGGGTACACAACGAAATACAGTCCCATAAATGTTTTTGAGTATCCGGCCCCTTGTCTTCATTTATAAAATAAAAGATAACTACAATACTTATGGTTAGGTTAGGTTTGTTTGGTTAATTTCATGGACGATATTATAAAGACCCACGACCGGACAAATAACCATTTCGGTTTTACTAACCTAAGTTAAGTAAAGTATGTATGGTAACTTGGTAATATTGTGACAGAAAACGACGATTCAGATGAAACAAGAGCAGATTTTATCCAGTGAACTAATTTCCACTTATTTATAGTAATAAAAATAAGCTAAAACTATTTGGCAAAAACATGTTTCGTTTTGCGTATTATTCCCATTAACCGTGATATATATATATATATATATATATATATATATATATATATATATATATATATATATATATATATATATATATATATATATATATATATATATATATATATATATATACATATAAACCTGACACCCCCTCCCTGCCCTCAGGTGAACGCAACGGCGACGCTGAACCAATTCGTAACCAATACAACACACAACAAAATTAAGAACTTGTTCAAGGAATCCGATCTGCTAGGGAGTGTTAACATGGTGCTGGTCAACGCCGCCTATTTCAAGGGCTTCTGGCTCACACCTTTCAACACACTCTACACCGTGCAGGACAAGTTCTACACCTCCCCAAACCACTATTCCCTCGTAGAGATGATGGTCCAAATTGCTGAGTTTAACTATGGTAAGTTATTAAGGAAATATTTACTCTCCATGTAAATTAATTTTAACCTAATTATGATGGTACAGTACAATCATCTGGGCTAACCATTGTCCATGATAACGGGAAGCTGTCAAGATATGTTACGATTAATTGGTGACTTAAGTATTAATGACATAATAATGATTTCATCTTAGAATTAGTCTTACACATCCCGGTTTTATAATGACATTTAATGTTCAGTTGGTTGATCATTCTGAGTCGTGCTGAGAAATCCTAGAGGTAGTACACAGTCGTGTAGATTTATACGGTTTTATCAAAAGCTATTTGCTGTACGCAGGGAACGTTATTTTGCGGTAATGGTGGAAATGGGCTGCTTCTTGGTTACGCTAATAATAACCATTCATAAATCTTTAAGTGTGAATTGCTGGTAGCTGTACAAGTACAAGAACTAAATTTAACGGCAATATATACCGGTATATATTGCGCTAATGAACAAAGTGCTGCTTGGTTCTAACCCACTGTATATCTAATTGGTATTTTTGTTTACATGCGGGAGTGCTTGAGGTACCAACAAGCACTCCTTCCCCTCCACCAGCTAAGAAAGCAACCATGAACTCCGCATGTGTCCCTATTTTGTGCTTAATTACTTTACTTTGCCTTACACAAGATGTATGGGAGCTGCCCCAATAAACTAGCCCTTGCGCAAATCTGAATCTGAAGCAGTACAGTAAAATAACTCGAGTTGTATTATTTATCAACACTGCTTTACCATAAGATTGGACAAGTACAATTACAGCAGCACCATTTATAGGAAGACGTGTAATTATCGCGGTAGTAAAGTAAATGACACTTACCCTCTTTGGCACTGCAGGAAAATCAGGTGAGCTGGGAGCTACAGTGCTCGAGCTGCCATACAAGGGGGAGGCAGCGTCCATGTTCGTGCTGCTGCCTGACGCTGCCGCGACCGACGACAACACCACAACACCCCTGGGAGTCATGCTGACCCGCCTCACTCCACACACTCTCAGAGCCGCCCTCGCCACACTGAAAAGACACAGAGTCACCCTCAGGATCCCAAAATTCACGCTGGAACACGAAATCAGAGGTGATCTTAAAGAGGTGGGTCTCCTATGTTTTACGATTCAGTATATTGTTTAGTACAAATGTCTGAACACTATTATAATTTCTTAATGTCCCTCTGCAAATTTTGTTTAAGCTTTTACAAAATTATCTTAGTTAGTCGATGGACAGAGTTTTTTTATATAATGACATTTTGATGAACAGTCTTGTGTTAAGGACAATATACCTGACTAATCAATGTTTACATGGTTACTCAGTCTGACAATAAACAGTCTTGTGTTAAGGACAATATACCTGACTAATCAATGTTTACATGGTTACTTAGTCTGACAATAAACATGTTTATAAAATTCAACCAATAGACTTTAATGTGACAACTGTTTCGTGTTTCTGGTTAGTCTGTTGTATAAAATAGTCACAATCATCACAACTGATACCATTTCCCATTACTTCATCGACAGACGGATACTTCAAACACCACACACATACTTGGGGTGCCCATAACTGTTCCTAACGTCTGAAATTGTTTCAGTCTTGGAAGAGCATGTACCAATGACTATAACAATAAACCTCATATACATTTTGTTCCCATGCCAAGTCAATTCCTTCGACAGTAATATCTATCTGGATCAGAAGTAATCATGTACGACAGCATGTTATATTCACATATAATGCATTACTGTTCTTTAACAACTAAGGTCTTTAAACGTGTATTTTAATTCAGTAAATTCACTAGTCATCAACAATTGTAAATTTAGAGATCCATCATTACATCTATCGTTTTCGTTACACCTCAACTAGTAAAAGTGTTCAAGCTGAGCTACTAATGACCCAGTTTCTTAGTCGTTTTCAATTGTTACTAATATTTCTCAACATTTCTACAGAGTCTTCTACGTCTAGGAATCCGGGACCTCTTTTCCGTCTACGCTGATTTGTCCATCTATGATCCTTCAAAAAGCATTAAAGCTAAAGATACCATCCACAAGGCCGTGGTGGAGGTGAATGAGAAGGGCTCCGAGGCTGGCGCTGCAACAGGCATATCATTCGACTTTAGAAGTGGTGCGAAAAGGTTTAGCTGTAACCGTCCGTTCCTGTTCTTCATTCAGGATAACCATACCAACAACATTCTCTTTATGGGTGTCTACAGGCAGCCAAACACTAACACCGAGAGTCACACGAACCCATGAAGAATAACTAAGTTAATGCCTACCGATATTAAGTTCGAACTTCGGTACCAACAAGAACTTCTCATTAATATTAGTGCTAATGTTATGACTTTTGTGTCCATCAATAATGAAATACGATGCAGTTTCCACGCTTCGCAGTAAATCAATCAACAGTTTATACGACTTACATATTGTAGGTTCTCAAAGTAAAGCCTCATAAGAGAGAATACTGTAACAATCTATCCAATCTTACAAAGCTATGAATTGTGTAAACGCATTTTAACACCACAGAATGAATAAAATATGAATTACCAGTCTCAATTTTAACATCAATGTTATGGTTTCCTTCCTTTCTTTTCCTTTTTTTTTTTTACTGCCAACGTGACTCCCGTTACCTTAATTCTATTGACTTTGGTAAAAGCTACTTAACATTTTACTGAGAGGTAAGGTGATCATGAACTTTGATCATTGTGGACAAATGGTAGCATGGTAGTCGTGTTTCCTTCACTACCATACTCCTGAGGTATGCTGGGCATGTTAAAGCTACAGTATATACTGTAGAAAACCATGAAGAGATTATCTTTCCTGCACGCTAGTATGAATATGGCTAAAATATACTCAGTATTTACCGATTACACGTTCTAAATTAGATGATCTCCCGCCAATTGCATTTCAGGATGCTATCATTCTGCCAAATTCTGTAATAGATATGCTGAGCCTCACCATTCCCTTCCAATATGTCAAGTCACACATCCTCACATCCTCAACATTGCAAAAGCTGCCTCCCGAAAGTTGGGAATGCTGTACAGATGCCGCAGCTACTTCACTCCTGAGCAGTTGCTTCAAGTATATAAGGGATTCATTGGTCCTAACTTGGAGTATTGCTCTCATATCTGGGGTGGCTCTTCTTCTGTCCAACTATTATATAGGGTGGAATCAAAGGCATTTCGTCTTATTAACTCTCCTCCTTTAGTTAACAATCTTTCTTCCCTTTCTCTCCGCCGGCAAGGCCGTGGGCTTGTTGCACACGTCTTGCCCGCCGCTTCTCTGTGGATGTCGGTCACACTAGAATAACCCGTATTTATAGTACAATCCTTCTTTCCTCACACATGCATTTTGTATTTATTTATTTATTTTGTATGATATTAACAGTATATTAATCACAGAAATGGAAACGACAATGCATAGAACCTGACAGTCGTTTTACTTTCTCTCCATAATTCTCCTCCCGAAGCCATTTTTGTTGTTTACCTCGCTGAATCCCTCTTCACGAGACGTTTTCTAAATGGTGGTGAACGCTTCCACGTATTCCTCCTCGCCATTGCTGTTGTATATCAACCTCAATATTAAGCTAAGTTGTTTTACACAAATTATCACAATAATGCACATGAACCTAATAGAACCTGACCTAACATACCCAACCTATAGGTATGTTAGGTCAGGTTCCATTAGGTTCTATGCATTGTCGTTTCCATTTTTGTGCTTAATATTATATTTTTGTGTGTAGAAAATTTTTCAACCAATTCGGACAATTCCTTCTGATGGTCACCCTCGTCTACACCTTTACCAGAATCATTGTGTAATTTTACGTTTTTTTTGTTTTTTGTTTTGTGTGTGTGTGTGTGTGTGTGCACGGAAGAGGACTACACACCAGACCGAGTTGGGTAGATTGTAAACATACGGACGACATGCGATGACTCGGCAGATTTTTCGGATGAGGTTTTAACGGTAAATAACCCCAAAAATATTAATATTTCGCTTACATACAATTTGCAAAGGAAATGCTATAAGAAAAGAAGATAGAGATGGGTTCACTTGTAAAATAATACCAAATTACCTATTAACTTCCGAACACTGACTAATTTGCAAACATAACTCATAACCAAATCCTCATATATGTTAGTTATTTGGATAATACAATTGTCTCACCTTGATGAATAGCCAGATCCATATTCTTTCACTAGTGGTCCACTTTTTGGTGAGTATTATTCTGAATATAATACGCTAGTTTCCACTGCGAGCGGAGTGACACATCTAACGCATTTCAGCAGCCAGACAGTCTCATCTTCACGAAAATAACATTGGGTCAAGCATCTTTTAAAATCATCTGAACTTCAAGAAATTATAATTAATTCCAGTTGATTAAACTCATCATAATTTTAGATTAATACATGATACTAAATTTTGAGCATGTTTTGTGCCTTTGGCAATTAGTTAAAACACCTTCGTGTGATAGATCGTTTTCTGTGAAGAACTTGGAATGGTTGCGAATACAGCCATCATTTTTAAAATATCCTCTATGTCTTAGAGGAGATTTTCAAAATGAACTCATAGAGTCTATGAGTTTGTGGGGTATGAGATGTTTGTGTTCACACTCAGGATGGAATGGAGAAAGGAAACTCACAATGTGCTCTCTATATACATGTTGTATTGGATGTACAATG